GGTCTTCATTAGTCATGAGCCAATAAAATTGATTATCATAAGATAGAGACTGAAAATTTTTACATTTAATTTTACAAATATTTATGAGTTCAAGTCTTTGTACATTAAGATGAGGACATACAAGGAGAAAATGAATTTCATCCTGAATCTCGTTGTGATGACAAAGTGAACAAATTCGTTCCTCTGTAGGTATTTTTTGGTAACGTCCAATTTCAATTTTAAGCCTGTGAGCCGATATTCTTAACTTTGTTAAAACTGATCTATGTTGATTGTTTGTAAGAATATCTAGATAAGGTTCAAAACAAAATTTAGTCTTTATGCTGGTAAAGGTAGACAATTTGCCATCTTTATGTAAATTCCCATTTTTTTTCTTTTTCCCATGTTAATTTATAGAAATTCAGTAATATTCTTTTCAAACTGGTTTTAAATTGTGGGGCTGACATACCTAGGAAATCACTAATTTTAATATCAATATGGTTAAGTAAGAAGTTAACACAAGAATACCATGAAGTAAAACCATTTTGGTGTAGTGTTTTAGAGCAGTTAAAAGCCTCACTAAGCAAGGGAAATTCACCATCTAGATTCTCTAATCTATGCCAGTATAACAACATATTTTTAATGACATCAAAATGTAAATTCAAACGTCCTAGCTCAGATCTTACAGCAAAATTGCTGCTTTTACCATGAACCATTAGTAAATGTTTGTAAAATTTAAAATTTAGAATTTCGCCTTCTAAGCTTTGGTATATTTTGTCTAGTGTTATATTTGGATTTCTCTTAAATTTAGAGGTTGTTGGGTAAAAAAAAAACAACCCATAACTCCGAACCATACAGGATAATGGGTTTAATAGTGTGGTCAAATACATTTAAAGCAGTTCTAATTGATGGATTAAATGTGAGAAAGTCTTTTTGAAGTTTGAAATAGGCTTTTTTGGCTTTGTTAGAACAATCATTTTTAGCATTACTTAGTGCTCCAGATGCATTAACAGTCAGACCCAGATACTTGTATTGTTTAACACATTCAATATTGTTGTTATCCAGATGGAAGGGAATTTTTAACGTGTTTACCAGATGAATTGAAGACTATAATTTTTGTTTTCTTTGTATTAACTTTGAGACACCAGTCCTTACAGTATGTACTTAGTATATCGAGTTTTTCTTGTAGACCTTCAGCAGTTGGGGAGAGAAGTACCATGTCATCAGCATACATTAGGCAATGAATGGACATAGATGAATCATTGTTTAATTTTACAAAACTTTTAGAATTTGACAGATAATTTGATAGATCATTGAGATAAATTTTGAATAGGTTTGGGCTCATGTTATCACCTTGTCCAACCCCATTGTAAGTACGGAAGTGACCAATTAATTTGTTACCAAGTTTAATAGAAGAATAGCTTTTAGAATACATATCCTTAACAATTGAGTAAAATTTAGTGCTAATACCAGCTTTGAGTAGTTTAAGCTTCAGACCAGCATGGTTTATACTATCGAAGGCCTTATGAAAGTCAACAAATTAAGCAAGCATATAGCTTCCCTTTTTTTGATTTGCAGTATTTTTCAACAAGTGTTTTCAAGACAAAAACATGATCTGAAGTTCTAGCTTGTTTTGTAAATCCAATTTGACAAGGATTGATTTTATCATTGCATTTTAAATATTTATCTAATCTTGAGTTAAGAATATAGTTAAACAGTTTGCCAATTGAGCTGGTTATTGTGATTCCTCTATAATTGTTGGGATCATTAGTATTGTTAGATTTGTATACTGGAGTAATGTATCCTTCACACCATGAAGAAGGATAATATCCATGAGTTAAGCAACCATTAAAGATTTTCAGTAATATTGGTACCAAGACCGTTTGACCATGTTTAAGCATTTCATTACATATTCTATCAGTACCAGCTGCAAATATCTGTTATTTATGTCTCTAAATGCACCAATGACACAGATTGTAATTCTAATCAAACAGAGCTAATCGGGGATAATTAATTTCAACAATGTGCCTCTCACCGATAAAACAAAGACCTAATAATTGGTATAAAACAAGCCGCCAAAAACAACTCAATGGTCGGTCATAGGTATCTGAATCACATGACTTGATGTGTTTGGGATCTGTACCTTCATGTTAAAGCCTTGATTAATTTTGTTAGGCTGGTGTACATAGACCGTTATTAACACGTCTGGATGCTGCACACAATATTCCTCAGGACATGTTTCTTTCTTCGGTAGTGAAAAATTCCACAAAAGATTCAAGACACAATGAAATCACACCACTATTTAATTAGACACAGTATGTACGATTGATTGATTGTATACTGTTTAACGTCCCTCTCCAGAATATTTCACTGATATTATAGAGACGTCACCATTGCTGGTGAAGGGCTGCAAATTTAGGCCTATGCTCGGCACTTACGGCCCTTGAGCAGGGAGGGATCTTTATCGTGCCCCACCTGCTGTGACACGGAGCCTCGGTTTATACGGTCTCATCCGAAGGACCGCCCCATTTAGTCGCCTTTTACGACAAGCAAGGAGGTACTGGGGACCTACCGGTATTCTAGCCCGGATCAACAGTATGTACGAGGGGTGATCAAAAAGTTCGCAAACTATTTGAATAACTTCCATAAAAGAAACAATATTTGGTTTTAATGTTGATTATATTTTAAATTAATCCTCCCCGATTTTAATGCACATCAACCACCGTTCTGCGCATGCGCGAATCACGTGATATTGGCGGTCACGTGACCCCCTCCGTAGCGTTCTGTCACAAAAGTTGAAAGGTTTTTCTGAATTTTATATTTCTTTCCATGTGAGTTAATTTTTATGACAAGAACAGTTCATTTGTCAGAAATGGTCATATCTCGGCAACAGAATGGGTGGATAATAATATACTTTCCAAAAATAAGCATGGCGACCATTAAAACACAAATCTTCTGTCTCAGGAGAGACCTTTATTCAAGGTGGATAGAGAATGGATGCATCCTTTTTATCATATCTAATATGTTTAAAATCTAAAGTAAATGAGATCTTAAGTATTTAATACTTATATCATTGTTCAAATATTCAACTATTTTCAAAGTGCTAATTGGAGGTCTTTGATTGAAAATTGCTTAATTAAAAATACATATCTTTTCAAACTTGCTTTCACTGGGCAAGATGACAAGTATCATTTTTAACCATCAGCCTTCCTTCACTAAAACGATTAATCCAATCATTAATTGAATTTATAGGAACTAATTTATCTCAATAAACTGTCTACAAATTATTATATGATACTGTTGAGGGATTTCTAAGATATACAATAAATTGTACAGTCGTTTGTTGAACGAGTTGGACTGAGACAACCATTTTTCGTCACAAGTGACCTAAATAGTGACGTCATTATCACATTGTGACGTCACAAACAAGGAGAGAAACTTTATTCAGCATATGCTATTTATAGAACTTGTGTATGGCTATGTGTGTACTGAATTTCATTCTAATCTGAATTGTGGTTTTCTAGAAATAGAGAAAGTTTGGGAACTTTTTGATCACCCCTCGTGTCCGAAATGTGTTAGGGTGTAATGGGTTTTTTTATTTGAAAATCAGTTAATTCCATGCATGGGTAAAATTGAAGGTTTGGTCCTACAAAGTTTTATGTTTTATGAAAAAAAAGAAGAAAAATGTGCCCCAAACATCACCACAACAAAATATGATTTTCCAGATTTGGAAACTTCAGGTTGTTTTAGATGTTCCTGCCATTGTGACCTCCTAATTTACTTTTTGATCCGACACGTATTTTAGGTTAATAATAAAACATGGACACTGCTATTATAATCTTACCTATGATGTGAGATATGGCGGTTTCCGAATAATATAAGATACCACCAGTTATTCCTCTTTACACATTACCGTAAAACAATATATAGCAAAACATGGACATTATGGGAGGCGGGGTATCATTTAGTGAGCTCATTGCTCACAGTATCTCTAGTTTGAAATTGTACGAATACGAAGAAGGGGGGAGCATATTCACACCTCCTAACCTTATTAATATTCAGGGTTATAAACCCAAGGGAGCATTCATTGCATCAGATATTTTATTTAAACAAGGAAAGACAACTCAAGATTTTTAATGGTATAGTCAGTTTCTTTTATCAATTTATAGACATTTAAATTGTGATTAATTGGAGGGAAAAAAAGAAAATGTATTGTGAGATATATGTTTTATTTCATCAACATCACTTCTGATCAATGTTTATGTTGAATGAGTATAACATTAACACACAGTCTATTTTCAGTATAAAATACTGCATATGTATATGAAAAGGTTCACTAAATTTCTGTTCAATGAATACAGGTAAATTGATTTTCAACTGTACCTGATTTCACATAAGCTACATATCTGCAGCTACTAGTACATGTAAATATTTCTAGAAGGTACATGTATCTATCTACATAATTATATTCAGTTATTTTTTTTCTTTGTTAAATGAATTCAACAAAAATAATTTAAACGGATATGCACACAATTTATATATCATGACTCATATTGAAAAAAAGACAGAGTAAACAAACTGCTTGCAATCATGTTTGTATTTACAAGAAATTTACTAAGCACTACATGTAGACAGACAATGGAATATTCAACAACAAATAAATTGTATATTACAGGGCGTATGTTATAATAAAGACTCTGCTGTTTAAAAATGAAGTAAAAATTTATAAAATAAAAAAAAAATATTTAGATATCCTTCACAAGATTTGCAAATGTTGAATATTTTTCAATAAACAAAACTAAGTGCACATGTACATTCTGTTTATTATTTTTTCTTCCTAATCAAAAAGATTCAAGTTCCATTTTTTAAAGATAATCAACCTTATAATAAAATTCATAATAAAAATAATTAAGTGTTTCTTTCTTTACTGATCTGGTTTAAAATAAATGTGTAATCAAATTATGTAATTCATATACATGTAGTCTAAGCATCAATACCAGTGAGAGCTAGCTATTACCCCCCTTTATTCCAAACATTTCTATACTGTGACTGAATTTATTAAAAACACCAGTTTTAAGTTATAAATCCTATCTTATTATTTTACAACCTATGAAGTCACCTGCGTGGTGCAGTGGCAAGAGCGTCTGCTCAAGAGTCATGAGTAAGGAGTTGATCATTAAATTGCTGGTTCGAAATCCCACTGTCGGACATAGAGTTAAGACTGTATATACAGAGGTCCTGTGTTGCAGTAGATGCTAGCACCAAAAAGATCCCTCATTGCTCAATTAGCCATGTGTGCCAAGTAAAGGACAAAATTTGCAGCTCTCCATCGGCAAATGTTGGCATCCCCATATGAGTAAAAAATTCTCAAGAAGAACGTTAAACAAAATACAAACAAACAATAAACTAAAGAGTCTTTGAATATGCAAATTCTTCTTTTCTTAGAAAGGGATCCTCAAATGATGTTTAGATATGGTACATAAGAGTCGAAAAGTACTGTATCATCCCAGTCTTCATGAATTCAGCAACTATTTGTTATATGGCCTGAAAAATATAAAATGTTAATACATTAGCATAAAGTATATGATTGATATATTTATAATTCATCATAAATTAATTGAATCAATAAAATAAAGCCACACTTGTTATCTTGAAAGGCTTATTGGACTGCTCAGTAACTAACATATCCAAAAGATCCAGGTCATTCAAGGGACTTTAAAATGACTTTGATATCTCAATGTATTCAAGATATCACTCTGTGTTCAAGATATTTACCAAAGTTCAACTCTAAACAGAGTATATAAAATTCATATATGTCATTTACAGTTGCTAATTCAATCTATCATTGTTAATTAATAATCTGCATGAGAAAGAGATCTGCGCAAAATGAGGTAATTAAATTAACAAAAGTAAAACATATGCAATGCAAAGTGTTTGCAAATCATTCATCCAATTTGTAATATTGTCATGAAAGTCAACATACCCTAGGTAGTCAAAGTTTTTTGATTTTAAGATACATGTGTACTGTTATTTAATTGTACTTAATTAGACTGCACTGTATTCACTTGATTTCCAACAGCACACATTTTTCACATTTATCATCCATCACTTACTATCATGATGAGAGTTATGCCCCTTTTCTATAACTCCAAAATATTGCTTTCTCTCTGAAAATTGTAGCTTTTTGACCTTATCTAGTTTGTGAGCTCTGCAGATTATTCATAACCAGCTATTCTAAGTTGCAGCTAGTTTGATATTTAAAGATTAATTGAAAAATTGAAACTCAAGATATTAATAACTCAAGTCTCCTTAAAATAGGAATTTAAATTATGAAAACTGAAATTATTTTAATCTGGAGCTCTACTTAATTTAAAGCCAAGAAATAAACAAAATGATTTTCCAATATTTACAAAGGACTTTCAACATAAACATTCTGTCTTTTAAATTATGGCACATCCATTACCCTTGATTTTGGAGTTCTATACTAAGATGTATTCATACAAAAGAATATGATGTATGGTGGCCATGATAATCTTGAAAAGATTTTATAAAAGGCTTCAGCCTTAAATATTCCAAAATAAAACTTTGAACCCCCCCTACTGTGGCACCACCCCACCCTATACCTATATGATCTGAACATATATAAATCTGCTCTGAACTATCTCAGAGTGACTTATCATGACTTTCCTATTCTGGAAAAGAATTGATTTAATTTTTTTGTCTATGGATTACTATTGTTCTCACTATTCTATTGCTTTAGTCTATTTACATCAATAACATATCATTACATGTACCAGTTATTAGCATACCTTCTCTTTGGCCTTGACATCCTTTCCTATTCTCCTGGTTGAAGCTTTCATCAGATTTGTTTTGTTACAGCTGAACTACAATTATGATTAATAAATTAATACAATCCTCTAAATTTAATTAATCCAAATAAAATGCATGCATTTGCAATTATGTGAAAAAAAAAACTGAATGAAAAATACTGACAAACATCATTACACTACAGGCAAATCAGAAAAATATCTGAATCATTTTAAGTTTGCATAATATGCTGATTTATCTATTGGCATGATTTTTAGTTCATTAAATTGTTTGTTGAAACATACAACCAACTGTATTTATACTGTCCCTTTTAATGGATTTTCTTCTGCCTTTGAACTTACATGTACTGTTATGCAGCATGATGTGAGAATATTTCCACCCATTCTTTATTATTAAAGGATCTGCAGAAAATAGAACGAAATGTGATTAAATCTTTGAGCATTAAACGAAAACAAAAATTCACTGATCATGCATTATTTTCAATTATATTGTCCCTTTTTATCAACATCTCTCACTCTGTGTGTGTGTGTGTGTGTGTGTGTGTGTCTAACCCTAACCCAAACCTTTTCATGTAAATTAGATACATGTATTCTTACAAACAAAAATGCAAAACATCAATGTAAATTATGTTTACATTGATCACATAGACACACATTGATGCATGTCTGTAATTTATCATACCCTCCGCTTGAAAAGTGGGAGGGTATATTTTAAAAGCAATTGGAATGTCTGTCCTTCTGTTACGCTTTGGGGTACCCATCTCTTATCCGCTAATTCCTCAGCTCATACCACTGAGTGATATTTGATGAGACTTTCACAGAATCTTTATTACATATTGCAGTGGTGCATCTTCTATTTTTCTTTTTGATCCAACACATATTTTGGGTTTTCCATAGCAAAACATGTACACTGTCATTATATTCATATGGGAAGCTGTGGGTATCATTTAATTTAGTGTCAGACTCATTGCTCATGCACAGTACCTCTAGTTTTATAATATTTATACTAGTATCTCATTAGCTAGTTTTAGTTGGGCAATACATTTAAAGGGAAAAAAGTAGAAAACATAGAAATATTCAAAAACTTTCATAAACTTACATATGTGAAGTTTCATGTCTGATATATACACAAGTATGTGAGAACTGCATGCATTGACATCATGCATCTGATCATAATATCTATGATATAAAATTAGAAAAGTAACCATTTTTTTTATCAGTAGGCTCTAGTGAAAAGTAAACTGCATGATTGATATAAACAGCTGACACTATTAAAACTGCAAACAAATGTAAACAAACCTTTATCCAGGTACACATGTATATGTGTAGAGGAAATTCGGAAGAACTTCTTGTGCATACAAACGAGTGCGGATAGATTTAAATTTTAGTCTCTTGGTCCGTAGGAATGGGGGGTGACGTAAATTTGCCGTTTAATAGTATGTTTCGGAAAAAAAAGTTGCCTTACGTTTGCATTTAAAAAAACACACATATGGTTCTCACAAATCACTGGGTATTGATAAGTAAGAATAAACACTTTTATACGCATAATTCTGCATATATGCATACATGGTAGACTACCTTACAAGTAGGAACGGCCTATAGCACACCTGCATTTTCTCTTCAATTAAGACATGCTATTAACATCATTTGACAAACATTCCATGAAATATTTAGCCAATTTGTGCAACAGGTAATCGAAAAAATAAATAAAATTCTACTTACGAGTGTTTTTGTTTACTAAATCAATGTATGTGGGTTAATCTTGACCGACACAAATACTCCCTTCCACGTGGAAACATGTTTACAAAATCGAGAGGTGCTGTTTTGATACTTTAAAGTGCAATAGCACTTGACAGAATGAGAAACTGTATACCTACTTTCACTTTTCAAGTAAAGAAACGTTTGTTTTTCAACTTTTTGCAATTTACAAACCTTATAAATCGAGAAAATATAAAGTTTTACCTCTTTTTTCATGCTGAATTTCTCTCTCGATTTTCACCACTGGCATGTTGCTCTCGTTGAGTTCTCGCGAGGAAAGCTGTTCGGACGTTTACGGATTTTGTTCATATTTTATTACGGTTATCTCCAAATTCTTCCGATTTATGCTAATAAGGTTAGGAGGTATGATATTGTTTGCAGCGCTCTGTCGGTTGGTCCGTTGGTCGGTCTGTCTGTCGGCCCACCATCAGTATCCATTTATGTTCCACATATGTTCCACATATTGAAATCAAATTTGGTATACATATTAATCATAAGAATATCTAGGACAAGTTCTGTTATGGGTACGACCGGACCAGTTTTTGACAGAGTTATGTTCCTTGGTGTTAGAAAAATTTCAATTATTTGGGGGAGGGGGGCATTATTGTTTTACAAACATCTCTAGTGTGCTTAATTTTCTATCGGTGCATAAGGCAAAAATTGTGATTCCCTGGAATAATCTTGTTTATACTGTAATATACATTGCTGGTGGATTTTATTGCAGATGTTTGATTTTATTCACTTTGTTTTTATATTGAGCAACAAACAGATTGTCAGTTGTATCTGTACACAGTCCAATGGGATAACTCAGTCCACAATCTATATAACGGAGGAACTGTCCATCCTGGTCTATGATGTGGACACATTCATTGTTAAAGTCAGCCGTAAGTATGTGACTCTGACTGTCTGTGATGATTCCCACTGGATCGAATGGTCTCTTCCTTGTAGCAGGAGTATGTCCAGTGTACCTGAATCTCAGTTTCCCGGCCTGATTGACTACCGCCACTGCTTCAGCTCCATTGTCAGACACACAGATATCCAGGTTCTTGTTCTCTGTCATGTATTTCTCATGAGAGTTAGAGTAGACAAGGTTACCTTTATCATAAACCTGGATGGTTTGTTTCTTTGTGGAGCCAGAGTAACGGACAACTCTTATTTGTGTTATGACATCATTGCCCATGATAACAAGGAGGTCACCACAGGAGGTACTACAGACACTCAAAGGTATCCAGTTTTGTAGTCTGATCATCTCCACTATCTTTTCATTCTTCACAATGTTCACAGTTCTATCTTTGTCATCAGTATAAACTAGATCTCCATTTTTTGTCACTGCTATGTCACCTGGCATGTTCCCTGACCTGGTGTTTATTGACTTGAGTAGTGATCCCTGATTGATGCTATAAAGTTTCATGGTGCTGTCACATCCACTTGTCCAGATTTCTTCATCACTCAGACAGGCCACATTGTGAAGTTCTCTATCCCCAGTGTCTATGGTGGTGACAGTCTCTGGTTCATCAAGCAGCTGTTTGACTGGAGGAGAGGATCCAGCTTCTGAAGATTTCTGTGATGTCGTCATGTTGTAGTCATGTTTATTTGAAGTAATAGAACTTAATGATAAGGATCCAAACAGTTTACAAAGTTCTAATTGGATTTTTCCTGGAAAGAATTTGGGTAAAGAAGGTACGATTTTTGGTGGAAGCTTTCTATATTTTTCTATTTTGGATTTAACACTATAGACTTTGGAAATGTCTTTCGAGGCAACAGCATCCTCAAGTGAATTGATTTCATTCTTGATGTCAGACATTGTCTTGTTTATTTCATCCATTTGTTTCCGTAGAGTTTGTAACTGTGTGTTTTTAATATCCTCAACATCAGCTGTAAGTTTTTTGACAAGTTTGTCAGAGTCTCTGTGCCAGTCCTCTCCATGTTTTGTTATGGCTGTTGAGAGATCTACATATTCCTTTTGTAACTGACTCATTCTGTTTTGTACATCAGAGGCAATGTCCTGGTAGGTTGGATGAATAGTGTCATTTAATTCAATCTGTTCTTGGATGATACTGTCCTTTTTTTCATCTAGAATTTGTAATATTTCTGATAATTTGTGACCTAGGTGTTCATCAGATGCAATGCATTTAGTGCATACAGGAATATTACATTGTTTACAGTACATTTTACATCGTTCTTTGTCATGAATGACACATCCAGGGTAGATGGGAGTGGATTTTCTGGTCTGAAAAGTGACAACTTTGTGATTGATATATTGATCAGAGATCATATGATTTCCAACACAGGCCGTACACAGGTTGACAAGACATGTATCACAGTGCATCTGTACCACAGCGGTCTTACATAGGTCACATCGCATTACGTCTTGGGCACTGGTACGGGGGTCCATATTCGAACCTTAGACCCTGGAATTGAATGATAATTGTGGATGATACAAATAGATTTTGTTTGTTTATACGTATGTTGTTTAATGTCCCTCTTGAGATTTTTTCACTCATATGGAGAGGCAAATTTTGTCCTGTACTCAGCTCTTAGGGATCTTTTTTTTGTGCCAGCACCTACTGCGACATAGGACCTGGGTTTACAAATAAGATCTCTTCCAAAGGGCCAGTCTCCAAGTCCCACTGTGGAATTCGCCAGAGCAGACGCTCTAACCACCACGGCATTTAGGTGACAAATACCTAGATAACTGAATCATCTCTGAGAGTTTTGTTTACAAAAAATTAAGAAAGACAATAAAAATTGAATCAAAAAGACTTTAAATTTAAGCATACGTCTCGTGTTACAAATTAATCTGTTCCTCTTACATTGTTCGAATTTTTCTTAACTTTTTATCAGTTTATGTGTTTTTTTAAGTTGGAGGGGATACATGTAGTCTTTAATTAAAAACTTTCTTTGTCTGTGAAATAGAATGTTTTTAGTTGAAAACAATATTTTTTTTAACTGAAGAAATGGCAAATACTACTCTTCTGTTTTGTGTATGGGGGTATATGTAATTGTTGGGAGGGAGGATGCAGGTATGATTAAAATCATCTGCAGTGCTAATATAAATTATACATTATCCCTTTCCTTTGTTGTTTACTTTGATTGGAAAAGATGTATGAATTTATATGTAATTATAAAAACATATTGTTCCAAGTCAAAACATTGTTGGGATTTGAAATACATGTACCTACTTGTATCTCAATTTAAGGCCAATAATAATCTAATAAATGGAGTCACGTTATATTACTTGACACCTCCCACCTCCTTTGCCACTTCTTATAGTGAGTAAATTTTTCTGACATTTAGTTTATGCAGGCAACTGAAGGTGGATATATAAACAAGAATCACAACTAAAAAAATGCATTACCTGACTTCAGACAGTAATGGCGGGTGTCCTGTTAATGTTAAATCTAAATATAAACTGTCTCTATGTACTCTGATCACATGACACCTGTATTATTACCTGTCAGGTATTTTATTTCCTTGTTGATGTGTACTGGTATTTAAATTCAAACAACCTACTGTACCTTAACACATTTTAAAACTTTAAATATGGGCAGTAAAATTTGCAAATCATTATAAATCACATAATTTACCATTATCAGTAGGATAAAGAGCACGTATCAATGTAATAAAAGTATTGAGTTCAACTTGTGGGATTAGATATGTTATAGATAAACTGGAATAAAAAGTTCAGTCATTTCATGCTTGATGTAGAACAAATGGGGTGGGAGTATGAAAGGGGGTATTTCCATCGTAGACATGCATTTCCACCTGATATTTTGCAACTGGATGAGAACAGGGACGTAGTATCCGGGGGGGCCAGGGGGGCCTGGCCCCCCACTTTTTTCCCCAACATAACCTTTACTATAGTAAATGTTCATTGATAGGATGGTTGGCCCCCCCACTTTATAACCATAGTATAGTGATAGCAATGATTGTGAGGAAAAAATTGGAAGTGATAGTAAGTTGGCTTTGAAAAACTTGGCCACTACTCCCCCCCCCCCCCCCCCCCCCACGAAATAAGATTTTCGAGTTTGGGTAACTTTTAATTTTGGTTTTTTTTTTTTTTTTTTTTTTTTTTGCTTGTCAAATTTTTCCGGTGAGTAAAAAAAAAATTTTCTCAGGTTGCCCCCCCCCCCCCACTTTCAAAAACGATGCTACGCGCCTGGAGGATGATGCATGATACATTTTTTTTGAAAATTTTCAGTCGTTCTGTGTAATGGTTGAGCCGAATTAAACTATTTTATTAAGGTACATATTAACATATTCTTAAATGAAGTAAAATTGATAAATGTTAATATCAGGATATCCATATCTCTTGGAGCCAGAGTCCGCCAATTTGTGAAATTCTTGACCTTTGTGTCCAGGGGCTTTGCCGTTCAGACCCTTTAGTAAAGTAAAATTGGATATGTGTTAAACTACAGCCTTTAAAGCCTTCTTTGATTTTAAATTATGAACACACATCCTTCTACATAAAATAGAATTATGCCCTCTTGGTCCATGGTTTTGGTTTTATATTTGGGCCAAATTCGTTATATTTTCCCTTATAATTAGTTAAGGCTCCAGTGTAAGGATGAATTGTTCAAGGAATCTACAGTATTTTTACGAGTGAAGGTACAATCACGTATAGTAATTAGCATCTAGGCAATTTAAAAAAAAACACCAATGGTAGTCAAGTAATGAAGCTTTCACTTCTTGATTGTTGCTTGGCCAAGGACCTGGCACTATAAGTCACAGGTCTTTCTGATTGGACCTGAAAAACAATGTCTCATGTCACAGTCATCTTTCCAAGTCAAGGGTTTTAAGCCCCTCAAATCCACATAAACCTTTGTTCGAAGTGGATCAAAAATACTCACTTGGGAAGATTTGGCAAAATAAAGAACCCTCACTACAAAATGGACCTTATGAGTGGCAAAATATTCAAATGGGATGTAGAACAACATACAATCAATGCAAACACAGAGTCACCCTGAATTTTAAATTCATATCACAGAGTTCAGAATGCTTTAACCCCAAAATTCACCTATTTTTGTCACAATTCATACAGAATCAACACTATTCAACCATTTTCTTTTATTAATTTTATTTCAATACTTCTATATTGAATACAAGTATGTCTTGACCAACTTATTTTTATTTCAGGATCTCTACAAATCTGGGTTTTTCTACATTGAGGGTTGTTTTTATAATGATTTCCTTTACAGTGGTGCAATTGACTATGGCCAGTAAATATAGTTTTTTTTCTTAAACTTAACATAAACATAGTCTGGTAAAATTAACATACAATTTTGAAATGCAAAATCAAATGTTATATATGAAAAGGAAAAGAATGAGAAAACATAAGATGTGAAGGTAAGCAAGTGATGTTCCTCTCACTCTCTCTCTTTTTTTTTTGATTTTGTACATGAAGTGGGAATGAGATCGAGGAGGTAGCACAGTTTGTTAATTCAGTCTAACAAATTTAATATTATTTAAGAGTGATTTGTGACTGGTCCAAGGACCCGGCCCCGGAGATAGGATCCATGCAGATATCTTCTATGGAGGACACGTCATTCCTGGACCTGACCCTCAGACTGGGACAACCCTACGTTAACATGCACCAGGGGGACTGTGAATACCTCATTGTATTCTCTGATATCAGGTACACAAATACATGTACATGTAGATTTTAAAAGAAATGTTTGAAAAGTTAACAAAAACAATTTGGTATTATTATCATATGTTTCTGATTATATAGGATGATTTCATCTGATTAAATTTTTTTTCTTGAATAAAACAAAATTATGATGATAATTCTTTTTACAATTACGGAGTGATAATTTAATGAGTTTAATGTTTTATGAAACGTGCTTGGCAGTTCAACGCCAATTTGATTAATATTAATTTGTAATTTACAGCCATTTAATTCGTTGTAGGATGTTATGTCCTCAGGATACACAAGGTATCAGAGAGTATCCTTTTGTTACAAACAAACGTCTGAAGAACCAAACCAAATGTATGCTTCTAGGTAAATATTGAAAGTAAATTGTATTAGATTATGTTGATATTCATTGGATAGAAATAGTTTGTTGAAAATTGACCTTAAGTTTGCTGTTAAATGACTTATACTATTTGATGTCATTGAATTGACCTGTATTTGATTGTTGCGTATGTTTTAGTGAGTTTTCATATAATTATGTTGTCATTCAATCTCTTGTCCTGCATTTTGTTGTTTAATAAGACGTTCTTTAGTTTGTTATTAAATCAGCTGTCCTGTATTCTAGGTGGATGGTGTACAACAGTGTACAACAGTGAGCATGCTCCGGAGGATCCTAGATTTTTCTGTGAACAGTGTGTCCAGTCTCTCCATTACGACCAGCATGGAAACAAGATAGGGAATTTCCAGGTATTTAGATTCTTTGACAGTAATTCTGTTATATAGTACTCATGGGAACAATAATGCTTTCAGATATTTTGTTCTTTACTTGTTCTACATTCTAGATGGATGGCATACAACAGTGAACGTGCTCTGGAGGATCCCAGCTTTTTCTGTAAACAGTGTTTCAGGGCTCTCCATTACAACCAGCACGGAAACAAGACAGGAAATTTCCAGGCATTTAGATTCTTTGACAGTAATTCTGTTATATAATGGTCAAGAGAATATAAAGGCTCTCGTTTTAACTTTGATAGTTATTAAGATACTTCTAATGCCAGCCTCAATGATCAAAGAAACTTGCAGTCATCTTGATAACTTGCCACGTCTTCAGTAAATAGCGAGTGTATAGTACCAGCCTCAAGGATACCCCCAGACATTAATATTCTCAGATAGTGCTTTTCAATTTGAATATGAAGAGCCAACGTCGAAGGTATCTTTAGAAATTGTCAAAATTCATTCTATAAAAACATTCAAGAAGAGATTGTAGCATTCAGATACTAATGAAAGTTGTCTATTATTTCTCAAAAAAAACCTTCATCAGTCATCCTGATATTGCCAGTTCTTCAGTTTCTAGTGAGTTTATATTACCAGCCTCAACCAAACACTATATGATATAATATATATCTATTATCTAATCTGAGTTATGGCACGTTATTGAGGTAATAGCTATTATAAAATTTAATGGTACTTGATATTATTTATCGATCGTTTCAAATAAATAATTCAATCATATTAACTAACTCAAACATATTAACATCATATTAACTTATTATTAATAACTAAACTTTTACAAATATATAAACCGTATAATGATCAAGCAGACTGCTGATAAATATACATCTTTTGATTTTATTTTAATCTTGTTGGGAGGGGGAACAGTCTACATGAAATCAAAGTTATGTCTATAAGTAAACTTCTTCATTGTTTACTCTAATCTACTGCAATCTACAACAATGATAGATATCACCTCAGATATTTGATTTTCTTCACTTGTTTATTCAAACATTGAGCAACAAACAGATTATCATTTGTATCTGTACACAGTCCCCGTGGTCCAATCAGTCCACAGTATATGTAACGGAGGAACTGTCCATCCTGGTCTATGATGTGGACACAATGATTGTCAAAATCAGCTGTAAGGATGTGACTCTGACTGTCTGTAGTGATTCCTCTTGGATTGAATGGTTGGTACTTTGGGGCAGGAGTATGTCCAGTGTACCTGAATCTCAGTTTTCCAGCCGGGCTGACTACCACTACAGATTTTCCCTCAAAGTCAGACACACAGTTATCTAGGTTCATGTATTAGTAGTAAGAGGGGGAAAGAGAGGTATGCCTTTATAATCGAACTGAATCCTTTGTTTTTCAATGAAACCATTGTAACGGACAACTTCGATTCTGATTCTTTCATTAGTAAGGACAACTAGGAGGTCACCAGATGAATTGCAACAGACATGGCGAGGTACACAGTTCTGTAAACTGATCAACTTTTCTATCTTCCCATTATTAACAATGTTCACAGTTCTATCAATGTCATCAGTATAAACTAGATCTCCACCTTTTGTTACTGCCACGTGAGGTGGTATGTTCCCTGACGTGGTTTTGATTGACCTGAATAGTGATCCCTCATTGATGTTGAAGAGTTTCACGATGTTGCCAAAACCTTTTGTCCAGATTTCTTCATCACTTCGACACGCCACATTATAAAGGGTATCTTCATACCCAGTGTCTATGGTTGTGATAATATTAGGTTCATCAAGCAGTTGTTTGACTGGAGGAGAAGATCCAGCTTCTGATGATCCTTTTTCTATCTTCAAATTGCTTCCATTTTCATCCGAAGTTGATAGAGCACCAAACAATGTACAAAGTTCTCTTTCGTCAATTCTTTTTGTCTTGAATCTGGGTAAAGGTGGCATGATTGTAGGTGGAATTCGTCTATATTCTTTTACATTGGATTTAACACTAAAGAGTTTTGAAATATCTTTAGAATCTACAGCTTCCACAAGGAAATTGATTTCATTCCTGATTGTAGACATTTTTTCTCTTATTTCATTAAGATTTTTCTGTAGAGTTTGTATCTGTTCGTTTTTCCTCTCATTAACTTCATCTATAAGTTTCTGGACAAGTTTGTCAATTTTGCTGTGCCAGTCCTCTCCATGTTTTATTATGGCTGTAAAGAGATCATCGTATTCCTGTTCTAATTGACTCATTCTATTTTGTACATCAGAAGCAATATTCTGGTAGGTTGGATAAATTGCGTCATTTAATTCAGTTTGTTCAAGGACGATGCTGAACATTTTGTCATCAAGAGCTTGCGAAATTTCTGATACCTTATGACCTCGATGATAATCAGATGCAATGCACTTATGGCAAAGAGGAATGTCACATTGTTTACAATACATTTTACATCGTTCTTTATCATGTGTCACACATCCAGGGTAGGGGTTATTGGATTTTCTGTTCTTAAAGTCGACAATTTTATGAGGTTTTGAGAGGTCGGCAGTAGAATGTTCTCCCACACACGCCTTACACAGTTTGACAATCACAGTGCATCTGTACCACAGCGGTCTCACACAGGTCACATCGTATCACATCCTGGGCACTGGTTCGGGGGTCCATATTTAAGCCTTATATAGGCCCTAAAATTGAATTTATATTTTTGATACAGAGGTTTAATTGAAGTGTCTTGGTGAGGATTTTTTTTTGACAAATTAAGAACGACAAAAAAAGATAAAGTGTAATGTACTACCACTTTTACTTTTATATTGCTCTATATATTTTTGTGTCTATTTGTTTATTTTAAATATGTATGTCGCCGAAATACTGTAAATGTATTATATTTAGCGTGTACGATATTTGGCGGAAGTTGACTTTTGAATAAGTTAGCGTAGATTTGATTAAGCGCATTTCTTCATATTCTTATTAGCCCCGTGGTTAGAATAGGTCCTCAGTACCCCCTTGCTTGTCGTAAAAGGCGACTAAATGGGGCGGTCATTCGAATGAGACCGTATAAACCGAGGCCCCGTGTCACAGCAGGTGTGGCACGATAAAGATCCTTTCCTGCTCAAAGGCCGTAAGTGCCGAGCATAGGCCTAAATTTGCAGCCCTTCACCGGCAATTGTGACGTCTCCATATCAGTGAAATATTCTGGAGAGGGACGTTAAACAGTATACAATCATTCAATCAATCATATTCTTATTAATGTGTATATGTGGAAGACATTTAGCGTTGTATTTGATTTAGCGGTTGCTGCGTTCCGCCAAAGCCGCTAAAAAGAATACACAGCCAAATGTAATACATAATTTTTACAATATGGCTCAGATATAGCTGACTCGTCGTTAAACAATAATAATAAATCACTATGCCCATTTTTATAATGAAGCCCTTTCAACTTTGTAAAAATGAATATTGATAAGCATATATAATATGTTCTCAATTGAGATAATTTTGAATCATACCTTTCATTCTGTTATGTGTGGGTTGGGGGCTAATTATAATTAAAATTATGTTAGCTTCAGCGAAATCATATAATTACAAAATCTCCTATTTCCTGAATTGGAAAAGAAGTTTGATTTTAACCATAATGATTGTTGACATTTGGTAAATCTACTTGTAAGGCAAACGTCTATAATAACTGCATGAGGTCAGGTTATGTTACTAGGACCCTCCCATTTCGTGATGCTGTCCAGAGACATTAATTAGATCCACTTCCTCTTGTCATCACGTGTTTTTTAAAGATATTTAGTTATGGAAGTGTTTATAGAGCTCCATATACAAATTCTTTAAAGAAAATGCTGGATAATGAAGAAATTAAAGACATAAATTACCTTACTTTACGTATATGTTGGGTGTCCTGTTGATGCTCATTTAAAAGTTATGTAAATCTATGTACTTTGATCAATTGTCACCTGTTTAATTTATTTTTTATGTATTTTACTTCCTTATTCTTGAGTACTTGTATCTAAATATCATACGCAAATAATCTGTAGTTTGAACTATGCCTTAAAACCTTTTATCATTCTTTTCTGATGCTGTTTAAATATACTAAACTTTTGATAAGGGTGGTAAACATTTTCATACGTAATGCCACCTAGTTTACCATTATCTATAGGGTAAAGAGCATGTCATTGAAAGATACTGCATGTGATCAGGTGATAAATATATTGACCAGATATGTAAATGATAACTGAAATAAAAAGGGTTCAGTGTTTTCATGTTTGATATAGACAAAAATAGGGGTGCGTGGTGTTGGAGGCTGAGTTGAAGTCTACCATAGAGATATGTCACATGATTATCATTTACTTCATATGTTAGCATATATAATAATTTACTAATGCCCATCTCATCCAATCATTCAAAGTTTATAGGTTCATGACCTCTGATGTCTACTGTGAGCGTGGGATGTGTTTGGATGGTTTTCCAGTCAAAGCTCATGGCTAGTACAGATCTTGTTCACATTTGCATTTGATAAACGAAAGCCCACGAAATAGATGATAAATGTATAAGTAAATGTTATATATTTCATACGTCATCAAATATCATCGGTTTGAACAAATCTCATTGTTTAAATGTTAAAAAAAATGGATCGTATTCAAGTTGTAAAAACTTAGAACGTCCTCTCCCAGAGATACTTCTATCATGTCGAAGGAAGATAAATAAAGTACAGTCGTCTGGAGTTTTTCCAAGAACTGTAAGTTAAAAAAAGATAACTCCCTTAACAGGTACATTATTTCTATCTAGCATTTCCATAAATTTCTGAAATTTTGCATGAACATGATGAGTCGTAAATACATTTTATGATCATTTAAAGCTGCTTTTCTGAAATGTTTGTGCAATATTTAACAAATTTTTATAGGTAGCATCTTGGATGAAGGAAAACTGAAAATTGTTGACATCATGGTCCCTCTCGTCTTGGAATCTGAGCCCTCAATAATTAATGAAATACATGATCTTTATGCCCAAGGTCTCAAGTTCAGTCCTCTTGGACAAATTTTTTTGTTTTTGATGGAATAACTTGACAACAGCCTTTAAAAAGACTTAAGATCACCCGAGCTTAAAACTCAAGTGAGCTTCTCTGATCACATTTTGTCCGTCATCTGTCTGTCCGTACGTCTGAAAACATTTCTCATTTTCGAATTCTTTTCCAGAACCGATGGGCTAATTCCATCTTGCCTCAAAGGATTTTTGGATAAAGGGAAACCAAATTGTTCACATGTAGGGCCACATCCTCTTTCAAGAGGAACTGTGAATGGTAACTTGTTAAAGAATGCCAAGGAGATGTACAGATTTCAGTGGGCGAGATCCAGGATTTTTTTAAGGAGTTTTGGTATATATTGACTTAAACGAATGTCAGACTCAGAGGGGATCCAGGTTTATTTTAGGGAGGAGGGATTATGTGTCATATTCAGGAATTGGTAACCCAGAAAAAGAAGATGGGGAAGAAACACCTTTAAAAACCCTGGAAAATTCTATTTCATGGCGATGGTGATTAAGCGTAAATTTTCTTCAGAGGAGGGGACAAGGTAATCTTTTGTTTGTCTTACATATAAGTATCCAAGAATTTTACTAATTTTCAATCAACAATTAAAAACAAACTCATGGCATATAGACTGTGCGTGGTGTATTTCTATAAAGCAATGAAGAAAATTACCCGTGATATCTTCCAATATTAAATAGTTTTACTTTGCCCCTATTTTGTGCTAATTAATGGACTTTTGAGCTTGAATGTTATATTGGTTATCATCTCCACATGTTTCAATCCATATATTTCATAATGCATTGCATTGACATTTATTATTTATGATATAAAACTTTGGCAGCCATATTAAACTTCGTTGTTCTCAGAAAACAGAGACTGTCTAAAAGTGAATGTGGTTGAATTATCAGTTTTGAATGAATCAATCTTGAGCAAACAAACACAGATTATGTTTTTCACTGAGTTACATGTATTCTATTGTTTAACTAGGACGCAGATAAAATGTTACACAACATTTACAAATTTTCAAATCACTGACAGCATGTTTGCTTCACTGGAATATGATAACATCCCTACATGAGTGATTTTTTTTCAAATGGGACGTAAACAACATACATGTACAATCAATCAATTAATAACATTTTTGGATAATGTCAACCATTATGTATAAAGAGCTGATGACAGCAATGCAAAAATGAACAAGGAATTTCAAATATACGAGATAAATAATAAGAAACATAGAAATTGAGCAAGTCTAAATGGCTTTGTTCGCCATTACAATTTTTAAGTTCGGTAGAATTCTCTCTTACGTTTTTGTACACTATTTTAACAATCATTTCCATAATGAACAGGCTACCTAATGAAGATAGCCCAACGTGGATTAAAGGTTGACTTGGAATGTTTTCTTCTTTACTGCACACGATCTCACCTTGATATTTGATAAAAACCGTAATTGTTCTGCTTTGAATTGTTATCAAATAATTTGACGTTGGAGGAAGATAACTGTCTGTTAGCCAAATTTCAACAAATAATATTTGATGATGTATGACCGACTTTAAGACACATAGCAAAATTGATAGACATCATATCGGGAGTAGTTTACACTGTTTTTAAGAAACGTTTGACGGTAAAAAAGCGTGGTACTCAAAAGTCACCCTATATTTTGAAAAATGAATGAAAAAGACAGCGTATACGAAATTCTTAACCATTATTTTAAAATATCAAACAAATATTGGAACATGAATCTATTGATTAAAACCCTCAAAACAAAATCTACCATAAGATGTACTTGATAAAAACGGCGAATGTCTGACAAGAGCACAGGTATTCAAGAGCACAAAGACAGATTTATATGTAATTTTCTTAAAAATTAGTGGTATTGTTGTTCAAATTCGTATTCGGAGAGACAGTTTAATTTCTGGAGGAGTCTAGAGAGCATTTTTTTTTTTGCAAAAAAATCAAACGGTTTATTAGAAGAAGGACCCAGAATCAGGAATCCACTACATTGAATTTCTTCAAAACAGCGTCCAAACCCGCATGCCCTGAAGAGTAAACGGGTTTTCGGGATAAACAGAAAGTTAATTTTTTTCACATCAACAATATTCGCCAGATCTTTGACCTTTTGGCTTGTTTCTATATCCAAACTTGAAAAAAAAACTACTTTCAGAGGGATGAAACAAGTCCAGGAAATCATTGGATCTGCCATTTTCCAGTATACTAAGGGTCATACCCAAAAATGAGTTCCACAAACAATCAGAAATTTGATAAAAAATGTTACGGACATGTATTTTACTTAAAAGAGATTAATTAGTAAAATAATGA